ACCGCGAACTTCAAAATCTTGAGCGAAAAGTTGAAACATTGTTTCGAAAAAAGGTATTCAGTGTTTTTTTTCTTCGAGTTATTTTTCAATACATTCTAAAAATCAATAAATTCATTTTCAAAAACAAAAACAGCATGATATCATAACAATTTTCAAATATAACAAAAAGAAAACATAACAAGTAAAGTAAGGTTGAAAATTCAATTAGTTTTCAAATCATCAACCCAATCGGGATTTTTCGAAGCGATTTGACTACCGACAACGATCTTTTCAACGGTTTCAGTGCGTAAACGTGTTCGACGTTTGTCCAAAAGAAATGCAGCTGTCGAGAAGGTTGTCTCACAAACCGACTCACTAGGCACGATTGACAGCACTTTTGTTGCAACTGTATATAAGGCCGGATAATCGAGACGTTTACGGCTCCAATATTCTTCGATCTTCTCGCTACTTTTCACGTTGAAACTTTCGTCGAGATATCTGCAAGCGACTTAGTTTTAATTAGATGGGAGCGAAAAATCACCTTTTCAGTTCGCTATGAGTCGGTGCTTTCTCAGTGTTATCGCTCATTTCCAAAATATACTCAGGAACTTCTGTCGTGTCAACATTGAGGTCGATCAGATCCTTTGGCAACATTTCACTGATGTAGCTTACAGCTCTTTTTCTTTCTTCTTTCGTAAAGTTCTTCATATGCTTTGTACGGGGAGATAGCAATGTTGCTCCATAATGATGGGTCCCAAACTGTGAATAATAATGTTGGAGAGGTTTGAGACCAGATGTGGCCATGGCTTCAATCAGATCCAAATCCACAATATCCTTGTCCACGATCTTTGTAAAGTCCCGATCCTTGTATGCCGACCATTTATTCAATATGACTTTATAGGCAGGAAGAACACGGTGTATTGTGACTTCGTCTTGTCTCTGAAAGATGAGTAATACTATTGTGTATGTTGTAGTTATGGGGATTTCTTACTTGAAAATCGATTGAGTAGGTCAGAAGTGGTTTCAAGATGTGGAGAACTGCATTGACGTATTCAGGATGATCGTTAAGCCAATACATTGATGTTCTGCCTTTCAGAGACAATTTCGACACTAAATCAAGAATTTCTTTGTTCAGTTCTGTAACATCCACAAGACATTTGAGTCCATTCAGCCAGCGAGTATCGTTTGGCAGTGTGGGTAGACGTGACATCTCCGAACACGCTTGGAAGTTGTTTCTAATGGCCGAAGAGACGTTTTGGGCATTGTCGAGACATTCTGTTGCGATCGGAAGCAGTTTCATAATTTCCGGGTCCAACATCTTCGCATGTTTTTCCAACGGGTCAACGACTTTTTCACCCAGAAGATGGATGGAGTGGCTCACGCTTCGAATATCTGAAGGTTTTTTGGTTCACTAAAGAACAAGAAAGGAATGAACTTACAAGACGAAAAATGTGTACCTAAATTTGCTAATGCACCGTCGGCAGTAATGGAACAAGCCCTCGCTTCTTCTTCCGACCAGCCAACTGATTGAAGTCGATCGATAATTGCATCGGCAGTGTCTGCTCCGGTTTTACTATCTGTACTAGGAATAAATCCGATAGGCAACAGTCTTAGCTTGAATGTGTCGTCGATGTACGAGGCAAACATGGATAGGTAGTTCGAAACAATTTTTCCATGATCAACGATCATATTAACTCGTTGTTTTCCAACGTACGGCTTTAGTTCACCAAAAGCTCGTTTGATAAGTTCATCGGAAAATCTCAATGTATGTGTTTGGATCGTTTGGCGATGAGGGATTTGAGCTTTGGCTTCCTTTCCAAATATTCCACTGCCAGTGGCGTTCGCTACATCAATAACAAGATCCCTCATACAATCTCCGCCCATGTAATTGAAAGATTTTCCCGTTCTCAACGCATGCTTGGCAAGTGCGCGAGTAATTTTCGATGTTTGCTCTTTTGTGAACTGTCGCTTCAAAAAATCTGAACCAATGTTTGAAAATATGTATCTTTTTTTTCTTGTACCTGTCAATTTTCGTTGCTTAGCCAACGGTTCTACTGATCGGAGCGATTCATCACTTGTTTCCGGAATGGGTTCGCTGGCAGCTCTTTTACCAGTGCATCGATCCAAATGCCGAAAAACGTGACCACCGTCTGTTGCGGACAACAAAGTTTTGCATTGGGTACACAACGCTCTTCCTGAGGCACAGTATTCGTCACTCTCCACTGATTTGATCATAATCTGCTTGACTAATTCAGATTTGAACTCGTCACCCCAGAAACATTAGTTGGTTTGGAACAATATTTCACGAAAAGCTCACCAAAACGGCTTCATCTCCATCACTTTCCAGGAGCTTCAGAAGCTTTCGATCGGCTTCCGTCTTCTTACGGTTCATTTCGGTTGTTCGGAAGAATAATGGCTATGAAGATGCGCTCGAGGCGTGGGACTTTTTTCGAGAATTCAAAACAATTTTTGTGTATGGAGGATGGGCCAATGGCGTGCGCTTTTCACAAAGTTTATCCAAGTTTTTGAGGGGAGAGACGATGCGCTCGAGGCGTGGAAGTTTCTACAATANTCAGTTTTAATTAATTTGATGACAAAATAGAGCAAAAAATCGAGAAAACTGGACGAAAATGCGAAAAACATTGAAAAAACACAATAAAATAAAAAAAAATGTTTTAAATACGATGCTCCGAAATTCCGCATTCGCGTTGTTTATCGCTTTGACAAAAATGGCGGCTGTTTAAATTCATTTTTCAAAAATTTTGTTTTTTTTCTGCCGGGCCCTGAAAATTTTCTCTCGGCCCGGCCGGGCCGCCGGGCCGAAATTTCACAAGTATGGTGTTTTCGCAAAATTCAAACTTCATAGAAACTTAACTAGGAAAATCAGAAGCTTTTTTTCTCGTTCCTTTTGTTCTCTTTCTCTTCTTCGTTTTTCGCTTTCAACTTTTTTTCGTTTCTCGGTATCAGAGATGAGCGGAAGAGATTTAAGGAAATTTACGGAAGACGTTTTATCTTCGAAATGAAAAATGCTACCAAAAAGCTGTCAACAGACAAAATGTAGATCTCAATGAGAGCTATCGATTGGATAAAAATGTTTCGAAATTTTGTTGGATTATTTAAATAGAGTCTTTCTTCCGTCTTCCGTTTTCCGTGTGCCAGACGGAAGACGGAACACGGAAGAAACGCCATATCTCAACTCCCCATCACTATTATGAGATAACTTTTATACCAATAAATAACTCTCATTGAGGTCTACATTTTGTCCGTTCACAACTTTTTGGTAGCATTTTTCATTGTNAAAATAAACNGTNNNCNGTAAANNNCNGNAAA